CGTAGAGTGGCAGTCTGGATGGCGTCAGTTTCAAATTTTTCCATGAATACGTTGGCTACAACCGGAGATAGGGGGGAGCCCATTGGGGTGCCCTCAGTTTGTTTGTAGAAAGTTCCATTCCAGGTGAAGTATGTGTTGGTTAAGCAATGTCTCACCAGGGGGGGTACATCAGTATGCAGTCCTTGATGAACCAGGTCTTCAATGATAGCGATGGTGTCAGGTACCGGGACTTTGGTGAACAAGGACACCACATCAAAACTGACAAGCAGGTCGTTTGGGGACAGGGAAATGTCTTTGATTGTCGATACCAGGTGAGTAGAATTTAGTACCGCAGAGGTGGTTTTTCCAGTGAAAGGTCGCAGTATATCAGCCAGAAAACGTGCCAGTTTGTAGGTGGGGGAGCTGATAGTAGAGACAATGGGACGAAGGGGTGTATCTTCTTTGTGTATCTTTGGAAGGCCATATAATCTTGGTGGTCTGGCAGCAGAGGGTTTCAACGAGAACTGTTTGATTGCTATTTTCAATTATTTTAGCAACCTCATGTCTAGTCATCTCTGCCTCATTATGTGGAAGGAGTCTAACTGCTGATTCTACCTCAGCAATTATCTCATCAACTGGAATTGTGCTTGGGGTAACGGCAAAGTTAAGGCCTTTAGAAAGGATAGAGACCATGTCACCGGTTAATACAGTGTTGGTCAAGTTCAGTACAGTTTTGTTTTTACATTTTTGGTTTTCAGTAGGGATTTGTTTATTATGTAGTCTAGAAAATTTATTAATTTGGTTAGTTTTTGTTAGTTTAAACACATTATCAGCCGATTGTTGTGTTATGTTATCGATTATATTCCAATAATGCATAGATACACTATTGCTTATATCTAAGTGTAACTGCTTTAGCGATTCCGAAATGTAAGATAATTCACTCCTATTGTGCTGTATTCTCTCTATTAATAATAATTCGCTAGCTTTGTGTAGTATTTGGTTAGCTTTAGAAGACTTTATGTGATGTGTTATTTTAACTGCGTTTGGTATTACCTTTGAATCTCTGCACCTTTTGAGGAACGCCAGTGAAGATATCAATTTCATCCGCTTAATGCGAAGCTTCTCCAATTTTCTGGTTTTAAGAAAAGTATCCTCCCCATAGAGGTTAGTCAGTTTAACACGTAGGCTTTCGCGACCAATATTATTCATAATAAAAGGTTTTTGGGTTAGATCGCGTTTATTTATAAATGTGTCGTAACCCTCCACCACCCGACACGGCCAATCAGCAAAAAAAGTGTCACGTTGACAAAAGACAAATAATTCACTACTTCAGCCCACCGGTGTGTTGAAGAGTTAATCCACATTTACAGTTTGAGTACGACGTTTCGCTGGTAAATACTTCCAGCATCATCGGGCAATTCGCCAGAATGGTAAAGCCCTCGCTTGCTCCCGGTTTTATATAGAGCAGCAGGGTGACGTCATCACTTAACTCATCAGGTGCAGTGATTAGAGGCGGAGGGGGGGGGGTAATGTAATTATATAATCGATTAGTAATCAGTCATTGGTTATGATTAGTAATGAGTTGTAGATTAGTAATTCTTTAAATCAAAATGTAATGTGTATTATTTAATAATACGCTTCCAGGCCGCACTAAGCCGGTAGCTGTCAGAGCGATTAAAGTTATTCTTGTTCCTCTCAATTTCAATGGATTCTCTAATTAGTCTTTGCCAATAATAATTAGTTTTACACACCACTGCAACATTGTCAAAATCAATTGAGTGTCCTTGTTGACAAGCATGTTCTGCCACTGCCGACAGTTATGTTTGAGATAATTTAATATTTCTCTGATGTTCTTTTAGTCTTACGCTGATGTTACGTCCCGTCTGCCCAATGTAGCAGCTGCCACATGAACAATTAATCCGATATACACCTTCTGTTGATAGTTTAGGTAATGCGTCTTTAGTGCAAGATACTAGTTTTTGAATTTTGTGTACTGTACCAAATCTTACTGTAATGTTTTGCTTTTGCAAAACGCGGGCTAATTTGTCAGTTAAACAGTGTATAGTGTAGTTTGTAGTACTGAAGTGTAGTATATAGGAGTGTATAATTAAGTATATGGTGTAGTGTATAGCGTGGTTTATAATCGTGTAGTGTAATGTGCAGTGTATAGTGTAGTCTGTAGTAGTGAAGTGTAGTATATAGGAGTGTATAATTTAGTATATGGTGTAGTGTATAGCGTAGTGTATAGTGTAGTGTATAGTGGAGTTTGTAGTACTGAAGTGTAGTATATAGGAGTGTATAATTTAGTATATGGTGTAGTGTATAGCGTAGTGTATAGTGGAGTGTATAGTGGAGTTTGTAGTACTGAAGTGTAGTGTATAGGAGTGTATAATTTAGTATATGGTGTAGTGTATAGCATGGTTTATAATCGTGTAGTGTATAGTGTAGTGTATAGTGTAGTTTGTAATACTGAAGTGTAGTATATAGGAGTGTATAATTAAGTATATGGTGTAGTGTATAGCGTAGTGTATAGTGTAGTGTATAGTGTAGTTTGTAATACTGAAGTGTAGTATATAGGAGTGTATAATTAAGTATATGGTGTAGTGTATAGCGTGGTTTATAATCGTGTAGTGTATAGTGCAGTGTATAGTGATGTCTGTAGTACCCAAGTGTAGTATATAGGAGTGTATAATTAAGTATATGGTGTCGTGTATAGCGTGGTTTATAATCGTGTAGTGTATAGTGGAGTGTATAGTGTAGTCTGTAATACTGAAGTGTAGTATATAGGAGTGTATAATTTAGCATATGGTGTAGTGTATAGCGTAGTGTATAGTGTAGTGTATAGTGTAGTCTGTAGTACTGAAGTGTAGTATATAGGAGTGTATAATTTAGTATATGGTATAGTGTATAGCGTGGTTTATAATCGCGTAGTGTATAGTGGAGTGCATCATCATCATCATCACGATCCATGGGCATATAAACCCGTACATTCCGTCATTGGTTTCCACTTGCCCTTGTCTTGTACCAATTTGCTCGTGGCCACATCGTTCTGGCACCAATCTCTTTCAATGTCGTCAACCCATTTACTCTGCTAGCTCTTCCTCTCTTTCCGGTTACTTCTATTTTTCCAAACAACAACAACACTTTTAATTTTTATTATGAGACCTCTTTTGCCAGTAACAAGATATAGTAATAGGTTTTTACCCTTTTAACTGGCACAAAAACTGACACCTTTATTCAAGGCGTCATGTTTGTAATAACCACAACACAAGCAGTCAAAATGCAAACAAAAAAGACAACTCTGATAATAATATTGGCACTGTCCTTGAATTTGATTGGTCCACACCCGAGACGGCTTTCTTTAGAGCCTAGTCTACATTGGTGTTGGACCAGAAGACGCCAAAAGGCGTACAACTCAAAAACAGCGCACTATCAGAGTATTGAGGGCTCGGGGTGAGCACTTACATTATGAGACCTCCTTTGCCAGTAACAAGATATAGTAATAGGTTTTTACCCTTTTAACTGGCACAAAAACTGACACCTTTATTCAAGGCATCATGTTTGCAATAGCCACAACACATGCATTTTGACTGCTTGTGTTGTGGTTATTGCAGACATGATGCCTTGAATAAAGGTGTCAGTTTTTGTGCCAGTTAAAAGGGTAAAAACCAATTACTACTACAACTCTTGTAATGTTCCTGCTGTTGTCCATCCTATATATTATTATTATTATGGGTTCAGTAATAATGTCCTGCCCATGACAATAACTCAGAATGGACCCAATCTCCTGAGTTCTCAGAAGCGAGACAGGGTTAAGCCTGGACAGTGCCCTGATTGGTAATCACCGTGCATATGAATTATATATATAAAAAATAAATAAATCTTGCTTTCTATTCAACATTCGCCAAATTTTCTGCAAAAAAAAACCTCCCAAATCAATCGGCACATGTGCCTACGTTACAACTTGATTTTATTTTATTTCTTGGGCGGTGGAGGGTTATAGTTGTCTAAAATCTACGTACAAAATCTACCCCCAAAAATCTTCTTCATGAAAGCCTACGTAATGAAAACAAAACAGATTCTATAGCCTGGCGCGGCACCACATTACAGGGCACTGCGGCGACAACCATTGTTGTAGTGTACTATGCAGCCACGTCTATGGGCCTTTCCTGCATCAAGACGCTTCGACCAGTGTGGAGACGTGTGGAGCCAAATAACCCCGAAAAGGGACGAAATGGCTGTGCAACTCGTGAAACGACACCGATACAACTCTAGGCCCGGCTTCTATCTCGCTTACCCACCCCCCCTTGTGCTCCCTCATTGTATCCCTCTCGAGGCCTTTCCCTCCAACCTTCTGCTCAGCAGATCTGCAAACCTGTTCCTGGGGGGGGGGTCGGAGATTGGATCACCGTTTTTTTTCCCCCTAATGATGGCAATAGGAGAAACACACACACACACACACAGTGAGACACGTATAGAGAGAGACACACCTAGAGAGACACAGAGAGAGAGAGAGACACGCAGAGAGAGACACACAGAGACACACACAGAGACACACAGAGGGACACACACAGAGGGAGAGACACACAACAACATCACAGCCAGTTATAGTCTTCTAAAAAAACGAGAGCCACCGTCACATCAAGGGAAAAGGGACAACATTGGCTTTGTTAGTGAGACATTTAGCCCGTTAATGCAAATACATTTAACTTGGCAATGTAAATTGGTAATGTAACTCAAAGAGTCGGAAATAACTGCTGACGATGACAGGTAGAATGGAAACATCAACAACCAGTTAAGGCCCTCTCCCACCTGAAGACGATTACTTGTGCGGCGATCGAAACGTCGTGATTGATTTTATTTCTACCTACTGGACTTTACGTGAAAGAACCAAAGAGGATGGATTCCTGCAGTCACGAAAGCTTCAAATCAAGATTGCAAAAAAATCCATGTTGAACCTTTTTTTCACACCGTACGTAGTCAACCATCTGCGTTGAGACTGATCAACTTTCTCATTGCAGGCGAGGAGGTGGCTGTGAACTGCTCCGTGGCCCAGGACACGGTGTGTCGGTGCACGGAGGGGCTCCAGAGAGATGGCGATTCAGGATTTTGCCTGCCAGAGGATCCACGATCAGGTAGTAGTCGGCTTACAAAGCCGCTCAAGTCAACCACAATAAGCTGTTTTGTTTCTCAGCTGACAGTGGGAGCAAGGGGACAGCCTGGCAACTGAAACGGCAGAAGCTGTCCGCAGAAGAAGCCCGAATTGAAACTCAACCTCATGTCTATTGCAGGCTTCAGGGACTGCGTGGCATGATTTAAAGCTTTCGTGACTGCAAGGATTCATCTTCTTTGGTTCTTTCGGCAAAGTCACCACCACCACGTAGAATGAGAATAAAATAATGAATTAATAAAATAGCACAATAAAATTCTCACGACGTTTCGGCCACAACACAAGCGGCCTTTATCAGGTGAAGGGACGTGGCTTTGTTCCCTCCAGCGCTGTCCTCCAGACAGTCTCGTCCCTTCACCTGATGAAGGCCGCTTGTGTTGTGGCCGAAACGTCGTGAGAATTTTATTGTGTTATTTTATTAATTCATTATTCTATTCTCATTCTACGTGACCTTACCGAAAGAACCAAAGAAGGCTGCATGCATGGTCAAGCACAGCCACGTGTGTTGTTATCAGCTCACTACCCTGTGCAATACTGAACACCAAATCTGTATTGTCCCTACAAAGAAGTTTTAGGCTGGAGTCCCCTTGCATCGAAATCTGCACACTGGCTAAGAAAGCGTATTTACTTCTCATTTCAGAGGTTTGTGGTTCAAGCCAAACGGATACGCTAGTTTATTCTACTGGTGCATTCAACACAATTAAATGCGCCATCTCCTTTTATGGTGAATGATAGACGTCGTTCTTGGGGAAAGGCGAATGATTAAAAAAAAACGTGAAACTGCTGCAAATGATCATCTTTGAAAAAGCGCATTCACGATATTTTTCGTGATAAAAAATGATAGAAATGATGGAAAGGGCACCGATTTAACGGGTTGATTTTGCTACAGGTTGTGTTAATGCAACGTACTGGATTCCCGTGCATTTCAATGCATGGAATAGACCTGAAAAGTAGGCGTAGAGGGGACTGTTGTTGACAGCTTGTGCTTTTGTCTCCTTCATAAAATTTCAGACGCCATAGTTGTCGCGTTGGCAACAATCCTCGGCTTCGTCCTGACTGGAGTCCTGCTGTACATATTGTGCTTAAAGATGAAACTGAAGGGGTCGACTTTTAAGAAGATGTTGAAGCGTCCCGGTAAGTGGTCATGTTCCGTGATTAATCTAAAGATAAAATCCTGGAATTGTGGATAAAATTATACGTCGACTGAAAATATATTTTTACTCTCATTATACGTTAATTAAAATGCGTGGAGAAATCACGTCTCGGCACGAAGCCGCCTCTGAATGCTCTCTGCAGACACCACTGCACAGAATGATGAAAATGAGTTACATCCCTTTTGAGAGCTTTGGCTTCGGTGTCATTTGAAAGTCCCTTGGAGAGTGTTGCTACTGGTGACAGTCACCTCTGCCGTGCCTCCACTCATCCGACAATATTTCACACCCGCGTGAAGTCGTGTTGGACAGGACGCTCAATTGAAGCGTCGTCGTTACTTCGTTCTGTGCTTACCGCTCTTGTGACAAAGGGAGGAAGTTGACAATTGTCGAGGTCCCGAGGGGCATCGAGGTAGGATTTGGACTGATTCAAAAACGACTTCAAAACTGTCTGTTCATGGTCTTTAGCCGCAGGTGGATGACATCTTCATCTTGGCTATGCAATTATGCAACTTTACATTCCAGTTAAGGTCTATCCAATCTTAAAATTATAGGAAACATTTAAAAGTTCTCCCTGACTCCAAGATCGCCATGTTTAGTTTTCTGTGTCGAACAATATAACCGCATCGACTGTGCTATGAATCAGTGATTAACTAACTTTATCGGATTTCTTGCAGACACTACTCATACAAATAATGAGCATGATGAAAATCTACCGCTTGTTATCGTGCAAAATGAACACGAGGTGACACAAGGAGTTCAGGTACACTCAACACAGCATGGTGGCATGATGACCCTACTCTACATTGTTTCAGTGTGTAGGCGTGCACCAGTACACTGAAAACTCCATCCCAGATAGACAGAAATAATCGTGACCGTGTCTTCTGCACACGCTACAGAGGAGCAACGAGAGCAGCGAGACAATGCAGCAGATCCGAGTGAACAAAGAGAATCTCAAGGCCTGGCTCGGAGCGGATCCCTCGGCTTTCCTGGAGCATCTCAACGGCTTCAAATTGATTCCACGACACGTGCACCAAGCGGCCGTCGACAAGGGCGGAGAGGAGAGTGTGGAGCTCGTTCTGGACCACTTCATCAGCCAGGGAGAGGCACGCTGTGAGACGCTGTGGGACGCCCTCTACTCTGTGAGGAAGCAATACGTGCAGCTGTGGAAGTGGATTCAGTCACACGGTACGACCCACGTGAACGCACCGGTGTATTGACATCGAATGCCATTTTGTTAGAGTCGAGGAAGAAAAACCATGCATATGCGTGGCTTCCGTAATTGCTTTCCAACACGTAGTTCGTCCTCGGGGAAGTGATCGGAGACTACGACGCTACGTTTAAAGCCGCACAGGAATGATGTCATGCTGTGTGTGACTGAACGACTTTACGTCACACTTGACTGTTTAAGTACCAATATGAACCTAAATATGTTATACGTTGTGCCTTGATTCCAGAAGCACAATTGTAGCTGAATAGGATATAAACTCAATTAAAATCTGTGTTAAACGATTCGTTTGAAATTCATATGAGCCTCTGTCGATCGCAGGCGAGGCGTTGAGGGCCATTCGAGATAAGGAGTCGGATCTGAAGCTCTGGATCGCCAGAGACCCGAAGCATCTTCTGCTGCAGCTGATGAGCCGGGGACGGATCCCGAACGAGCTCTTCACCGAGGCCAAGGGCATCCGGGATGGCGCGGAGTGCGCGGAGCTTCTGCTCAACTTCTTCATAGAGAGAGGGAATGACGACTGCCTCAAGCTGCTCTTTGCTCTGCAGGCCGTGCAGAACGATTATCCTGGACTCAAGGAGTGGCTGGGAGGCCTTGGTAACAAAACAATACATTTATAATCAACGTTTAATTTCAGACACAATCCACATTTGTCGTATTAACCGGCCATCATTCCTTCTGGTGACATGTCCTGCCCAGACGCAATTAATTAACAAAGCAATGTCCTATAACCCATGCACTGTCGTTCTGTTTTTCTACGTAACTTGAAACCGTGTACTATTTCATGCTCTTGCAGTGCTGTTCCTTTTAATTGTCAGTGTCCACGTGTCTGATCCGTACGTCATAGCAGGTAATGCGGGCCGATTAAAACTTTATTCTTCAGGCACATTGGTTACGTTACATTTCATTAAGAATAAGGGGGATTTCACATTTTATTTCTGGCAACAAAACTGAAACCTTTCTTTACACGGAATCACGTGGTGCATTAACAACAATACTTGTGGTCAAAATGCAAACAAAAAACACACTGACGATATATGATGCATCGTCCTTGAAACTGATTGGTCCACAACCATAGACAGCTTTCTTTTGAGCCTCGTCTCCATTGGGGCTAGACCAGAGGACGCCACAAGTATTGTGGTGAATGCACCACGTGGTTCCTCGTAAAAAAAGGTTTCAGTTTTGTTGCGAGAAAAAAAGGGGAAAACCCCTATTCTTATATTTTGGTACTGGCAAAAGGAGGTCTAATGATGTAGTTACCATTCATTATTTTGTTCAAATTTTCCAAAAGCACTCCAACCTGCTCTCATCCACCTTTGAAGGCTGAAACGGCGCCAATTGCCCCTTTTGTGGTGCCGCAGACTTCCTCCGGAGACTCTCCAACAAGTCCCCCCTGGTTCTGAACAAGTACAGCGACTTTGTCCTCCGAGACAAAATCCGCTTCAAGACGAGGGAGCTCCTCGTGGCGCTGCGCGACGACCTGACGCCTCTGCTCTCCCAACTGCAGATCAGGAACATCCTCACCGACAACAGCGTGCGGGTAAAGTCCAACTAAGATCATCGTCATCACAATCACGCGTAGCCTCATGAATAAGGACGTTTGGTGTTTGGCCAGTCCTTTTGGCACAAAGGCTATCACGACGGACCTACTTTCTAGGCTGCACAGAACATTTGCATGTTGAGTCTGCCGCGGGATTGGTTGACAGTGAGCAGTCACAATCAGGTCCATGCCGACGCTAGGGTTGGACAAGCTGAAATAAGTGCCAAGAGCACGAACAGATGTAAGAAGCGCAATTGAACAGAGCATTAGACATAGGTCATAGCACACATAGGTAGTGGCACACGTGATCTTATAATGATGACGTTTCTAAGACGACCGTTACCCCTGTTTGCATCGGACTGTATAGTAACATAATAGTATTTTTAACATATGCTTAGTATATTTTTTTTCTTGATACTCATGATAGAGATGTGGTTTTATGCCAACTGGTGACACAACTGCCTTGTCAATGCTTAATTCGAGAGACATTTTCTACAGCCATAATACCGCAGTACATAAAGTTCGTTTGTGGATTTTGCCGCAAGCTCTTTGCACGAGTCGTTATTTTGATGTGCACGTCATCAGCATGCAGGGATACTCTTGACCCATTGGCGTCTAAATGTCACGCGGTAGCACTCGGTATATATTAAACAAAGAAAGGTCCCTGGGCAGATCCCTCCAGGACACATACAAAAGTGACACGTTCCTCTATTTTAGCATCTTGACAAAAAAAAACGATGTTTTTTCATTGGTAAGATAATCACACAGCCAAACAAGTGGCGATCCAGATCCTCAAATACGCTGGTGCAATGTGTCATTAATAATGCTCATTTTTTTTTTAAATACTGAATGCAATTGAAGGACCCAAAAGCAGCACGTGTAAGTGTATGTAATGGACAGTGTGAATGTACAGCTAATCCCTCGCCTACCGCGGGGATTAGATTCCCGGAAAAGGCCGCGGTTGGCAAATCCGTGGTTGGTTACAAATACCGGGGGCCTATGGGAAATAGGGAGTTAGGGGGAACTACTCGCCATGGTCTGACTCAGTTGCATGTTTTTTTTTAACGAAACACCGAATGAGATCCAGTATATTACACAGCACAATAAAAACGTAACCACGCATTACGTAAACTTGACACACCTTTAATGTTAACGACGGTGATCATGATCGATGGCAATGAGATAATGGGGGGGGGGAAGGGTTTGTTAGAAGGTGGAGGGGACTCGATCCACCCTCTAACTCGTCCGTGCTGAAGACACAACTCTCTGTCACCTCCACCACGCGCTACCACGCTTCGGGTCCATGGTTAAGCCATGCAGAGCGTCGTTCAATTGCATTCAGTATTTAAAAAAAAAATGAGCATTATTAATGACACTTTGCACCAGCGTATTTGAGGATCTGGATCGCCACTTGTTTGGGCTGTGTGATTATCTTACCAATGAAAAAACATCGTTTTTTTGTCAAGATGCTAAAATAGAGGAACGTGGGAATAGGTTTTACCCTTTTAACTGGCACAAAAACTGACACCTTTATTCAAGGCATCATGTTTGCAAAAACCACAACACAAGCAGTCAGAATGCAAACAAAAAAGACAACTCTGATAATATGCACTGTCCTTGAATTTGATTGGTCCACACCCGAGACAGCTTTTCTTAGAGCCTAGTCTCCATTGGTGTTGGACCAGAAGACGCCAAAAGGCGTACAACTCAAAAACAGCGCACCATCAGAGTATGTGTCCTGCAGGGATCTGTCCAGGGACCTTTCTTTGTTGAATATATACCGAGTGCTACCGCGTGACATTTAGAAGCCAATGGGTCAAGAGTATCCCTGTATGCTGATGACGTGCACATCAAAAGAGCTTGCGGCAACATCCACAAACGAACTTTATGTACTGCGGTATTATGGCTGTAGAAAATGTCTCTCGAATTAAGCATTGACAAGGCAGTTGTGACGGGGAACCCCGCGACATTGGTAACAACGACGCCGCGCGTTACAATGTGATGCAATGACGCAATACCTACGTCACTCGACTTCCTTAACACCGTGCTTAACCGCGGATACTCAAATGTCCAGGCCGCGGTTGGTAAATCGGTATAGAAATCATCAAACCCTGTGTACATTCAGCTTGCGGTTAGCAAATCAGTGGGTGGCAAGGGATTCCTGTACGTAAAAAAAATATTGAGCAAAATTACGGGATGTGGATTTGGGGGAAAATGTTGAAATGAAAAGGTCATGGAGATTACGATAGAGTGTGAAGCATGTCTTACTGATTACACTGTAACAAAAACATTGTTCCTGGGTAGTAAGTGTTATTTTCTTATTGCTTATGCCTCAAAAGTACAGAAAATGGCTATCTATTACCCACAAACTTTGCTTTTGTGACCAGGACAATGATATTTTTGATTTAAAGCTTTCGTGACTGCAGTAATTAATATTCTTAGTTTTTTTTCACCGAAAAAAAACTAAGAACAGGCCAATGATGTTTTGACATTTACCTCTTTTCAATGAGAAAACGTGGCGTGCATTTGTGTCATTCCTTCACGTAAAGTCCTGGTCACAAAAGCAAAGTTTGATGGGAACAACAACAATAATAATAATAGCAATTTTCTATACTGTTGAGGCATAAGCAATTAGAAAATAACACTTAGTAACCAGAAACAAAAATCGTGTTACATGTCTTACTATCTATACGTACAGGATTCTCCCTATTGTCCTTATAAATAACGTAGCTAAAACAACTCGTGATTGTCCTCGGAAGTATGTAATTACACTAAAACAAAACCTGAACATTCATCAAGAACTCTGTGGCCTTATCTTAACAAAATTTACAGAACGTTTTTTTTCTTACGCGCTTCACAGCGATGATACAATTGTACATAAGATGATAGTGGTCTGAGATGAGGAATGTGGTTTTTAAAAATGTTGGTGCTATTTGAGTGACAGAACAGAACAGGCGTGAGTGTTAAGGAGGGGGCTGGGGTAGGTTTGGTTGGAACTGGGGGGGGGGGGAGAGTGATGAGGCATTGCATTGGGAAGACAAAGAGAGTCGGCCGGGGGGGCTGGGTGGGTAGGGAGAAGAGATGGAGTGGACGCTGAGGTGAATACTTTTATTGCTGGGTTTGTCTCCCGAGTTTTAAGAAAACCCTTCGATGAGTGTGGCCAGTGTTCGATAGGGGTAAGTCCCGAATAGGAATACAACTTTATCTGGAAGTGTTGGTCATGTCGGATCATCTTTACAAGAGTCACACTTGGTCATAAACGCTGCTGCTTTACAACGCAAACACAGAGTGCTTCTGGAGTGTTGCAGGCAAGCGGCTCTGAAGAACCGCCATCGCTACAGAAACGTCGTTCCGCTCTGAACGTCGCGTCTTTGCGTTCGTGTGTCCACCCGCAGGCCGTGAAGGAGATGCAAGCTCGGCAGGGCAGCGAGAAGGCGACACAGCACATGGTGGAGCTGGTGATGGCGAGGGGGCGACCCAGGGTCAAGCAGTTCTGGGAGGCGCTGTGGGACCTCAGGGAAAGTTACCCAGACCTGGAGAACGTCTTTGAGAAGTTCTAATGGGTGGAACCGGAGAGAGAGAGGGGAAGACCTAACGGAGAATGGCTTGACGATGACCTCATAACGAGATTGGTGCCAGAAAGATGATGCGGCCACTACTTTAGCATATTGGCACGACAAGACAGAGAGAGAGGAAAGTGGAAACAAACCACCACCTACGACTATGGGGATATCTGCCATATGGATCGTGATGATGATGAATGGTGCGTGGGGGGTAGTTGTGGTCAAGTGGTTATTGCACTGCACAAATCACGGTGGCTAGGATATGTTAATTACCCTGCCCCGTATACAGGACGGGAGGTCGTGGGTTCGATCGCGACCCAGACGCCTGCTGTTTATTTTGAGTTTGCAACATCTCTCTCCCCGTGGTCACGTGGATTTTCATCCAAGTCGTCCTCTTTTCCCTTCCGCATGAAGAATCAACGTGACGCGTTTAGAATATTTTGCTGCCATAAAATTCCACGTGATGATGTTGACAGGAATTCGTTGAGCTATCGTTTCGGATAGCCATGTCGCTTCTGAATAAGAGCTACTGTATAGCTCATTGGGCCTGTACTGGAAAGATAACTCAAATATATATTTTTTATCATTTATGAACCCAACTGCTCTGTCTGCTTCTTCCCTGGCACCGCTCCGCTTTGTAATTCCCTCCCGTCGTGTCAAGTTTTTGTAACAACCCTTGCCCAATTCAAGAAAGGTATTGTCCATTGACAGCCACGCAGAGGAATGTGCATGAATGCCGTGGAGGGGTGTTTAGTCAACGAGACCAAATTAATCGGTCCTATTCATTAAGATTACAAACATTCATCAATGGTTCATTTAAGTTACGGTTGGCTTATTTTAACTTTGTTTTATTAATTTATAAATAGCATCACGATACATATCATAATTAATTAATCACGGGCCAAGCAAGATGTATTCACTTGCATTAGATCGCTGCCACTTCCAGAGCAGATCGCTTTGCCAGGCTCCCTCACTCCCAGGCCGGGGATGCCTGATATGGCCATGGTCGCCATTTAACAAAAAAATGGCCGCGAGTAATCAACTCCGAAAAACATTCGTAGAAGATTACAATTCTTAATTCTATATTTAAAGCTTTCGTGACTGCTAGGATCCATACTCTTTGGTTCTATTGGGTAAAGTCACGTAGGTGAAAATAAAACAACAAAAAATCACGACGTTTCAGCCACAACACAAGCGGCCCTCATCAGGTGAAGGGACGAGACCGTCTGGAGTGAGGAAATCCGATGAGCTGTGAAGCTCTTTCGTTCACACATTGATTAGCTTGGGGGTCGTGATCTGGGCGTGGCTTTTCTCGCTCCAGCGCTGTCCTCCAGACGGTCTCGTCCCTTCACCTGATGAGGGCCGCTTGTGTTGTGGCCGAAACGTCATGATAATTTTATTGTGTTATTTTATTTTATTCATTTATTATTGTTATTTTTTTGTTGTTTAATTTTCACCTACGTGACTTTACCCAATAGAACCAAAGATTATTACAATTCTTAGTTGCATTACTTGATTCATGATCATCATCATCAGCGATTGTCATCTCCTTGCTCTCTATTCATCATCATCGGTGATTATATCACCTTACCATAATCATCATCAGTGATAACATCACCTTATGTATTCATCATCGGTCATGACATCACCCTGCTCTATTCGTCATCATCGGTGAAAACATCACCTTATGTATTCATCATCGGTCATGACATCATCCTGCTCTATTCGTCATCATCAGTGATGACATCAACTTATGTATTCATCATCAGTGATAACATCACCTTGCTCTATTCGTCATCATCGGTGATGTCATCAGCTTGCTCTCTTCGTCATCTACAGTGGTGAAATTACCTTCACTATTTAAGATCGGAAACAGGAAGACTTCTTCACAATTCTGGCAAATCCTCTGATGAAGCTGCTGGTTGTTGTTGTTGTTGTTGTAATCGCCAGCTAAACATCCCAGCAGTACTGAGGAAGGAAGCTCTCCCTGGCTATTGCGTTTCAAAAGGGGTCGGGGGTAGCAGGGCGTGCTGATATTCTCAGTCGCCACCGTGCCTGGTTACGGTGCAAGTCTTTTGTTTTGCATCTCCCCCGTACCCCTTCTCTGGCCTTTATCCTCCCAGAAGTGTCAAAGGAGGTCGCGCGTGGTGGGACAAACAGTGGCTATCTCCGATGTGTTTTTTTTTTTAAGGCATCCGACCAGCATGGAAGAGAAGGCGAAATATTTTTTCACGGGGGAGGTGCTTTCTTTTTGGGGATCCATGGTGGCTAGGAGATGTTGACTACATCGCCTGGTATACAGGAAGTTGTGGGTTCGATCCTGACCCTGACGCCTCCTGTATATTTGGAGTTTGCATCTCCCTCCGCCGTGGTGGCGTGGATTTTTCTCTGGGTCCTCCGGGTTTTACCCTCCACATTTAGGAATCAACATCACACGTTTCGAGTTTTTTTTGGCTACTGCTCTAAATTTCCACACGACGTTGATGATATCAGCCACTTCGTTGGGCGATCATTCATGATAGCCAGGTTCCACTTCCGAAAGAAGAGCTATGTAGCTTAGTGGGGCCTTACCTGATGAAATAGTGCAACATATACTCTGGGGGGAGAGGCTTTCTAGAGCCCCCTCTCGTGGAGGCCTTTCCACCAGCAGTGGCCCAGGTAAGTGATTTCAAGACTGCCTCTTTAGCTTTCAGAATAGTTGTCTTCATACTGGAGGAATCCGATGAGCTACAAAGCTCTTTTTTCACAGATGTCCAGTGTGACCCTTGGTAGTCATACAGTCACGTGACAAATTCCCTTCACTTCTATTCCTTCCACCGAGCCTCGTTCCACGAACGACGTTTCGTTAACGGTGCTTGTAGTCGACACATTTTAGAGACCCTTGGGCCAGACCAGATATCGGTACCACCCAAGTTGGCCAAACTTCATTGGTGCCATTGTATTTGTTACACCAACAGAAGTAAAATAATACACGATAACCTTTCCAAATGAGCAGCTGTTTAATTTTTCTCCCAGGAAAACTGCTTTCGCACCTATCGCATTCACGCCTATTTGCCCGAACGTTGCAAATAAAACATTCCAACACCTCTGCTGTTAATTAAGATAAGAAATAACTTACGAAATGGATGTTTGCCCCCAACGGATGTATTTCATACACATTCTTGCATCTATTCACGCTTGTTCTTCAATTTCAGTGACTTAGTTAAGTCTGGAATAGATTGGCGCTATCTGTTTTCCTTCTGTTTCCAGCGGCTTGTTTGCTCATGATCATTTACTGGCAGGTGAGGCAAGTACTAGTGGTTGTGTATTATTTCTGTTCATAAAATATATCTAAAGTGCCAACTTTACCCTCAATATACTGTTAATGTACCTTCTTTGGTTCTTTCGGTAAAGTCACGTAGAATGAGAATAAAATAATAAATTGATAAAATAAAATAACACAATGAAATTCTCACGACGTTTCGGCCACAACACAAGCGTCCTTCAGCATGCTAAGTCCGCCAATTAAATGCTAATTTTTTATGCTAATTCATTTGTCAAGGCGCTCTGTTTCTTCTCACACAGCTTAAAGGTCGCGGTCTGAGCTTGGCTCTCTTCGCTCCAGCGCTGTCCTCCAGACAGTCTCGTCCCTTCACCTGATGAAGGCCGCTTGTGTTGTGGCCGAAACGTCGTGAGAATTTTATTGTGTTATTTTATTTTATTCATTTATTATTTTATTCTCATTCTACGTGACTTTACCGAAAGAACCAAAGAAGATGAATCCTTGCAGTCATGAAAGCTTTAAATCGAAAAGTTAATGTACCTGTTAAGATTATTAGTTAAGGCCAGGTACTACAGGCAAAAGTAATTATTTTTGTTCAGTTTGTCAATGTTGATCTTTTTGATATTTTGCTTCCATAAATTGTAAACTTTCATAACATGCACACAATTATTACCAATAACTTTGTTAGTGGTAATCATTGGCACTCCTTGACTGGTTCTAGACTGATCTGACTTCTAGCCTGGTTGCTTCAATGAAACTCTCTAGGCATTGTCCAAGGCAAGGAATCAACCAAGAAGCACACAAGGCGAAAGCTGGAGAGGGCGTTTGCTGGAGCCTTGGGCGTCTTCCCTGATGGGAAAGGAAAACTCCTCCTCTATCCAGCTAACCTGTCCATGAGGGAACTTACCAAAGAAAATCAGTCTCTAAAAAGGGAGCTGCAGACCCTGAAAAGTGTCGGTGATGAAGATGTTATAGCCAAAGCAGCCATCAAATTGAAAGACCAGCTAACATCCATCCTGGTATATTCACAACTTTAGCCTGGGACAATATCGATCGTCTTGAAGAAACCGTCACTGTCAGCGGTGAGGGATTGCTGTGCAAGCAAAGCGAGCCAGCCCAGGTCCTGTCCAACCCATTGCCCACTGTTGCCAAAACAAAGCAGAGAAGCATTAATGCACCCCCGCCAATGGTACCAACTTACAACGCTGGACAACGGGTGGAGGCCACCACAAAGCAACAGTGCAGATGGCGATACCGCAGCCAATACTCAGCTTGCCAGGGAGAAGAACCTTGTTCGGGTCCTAGCACGCACGTCACAACAGGAAGACCAGCCAATCAGCAGCTGGACAGGCTTCTACATCCTGACTCGAGGTGAGACGACGGTCATCCCCGACAATGCAGGCTCTCTGCCCGCCATCAGTGCTCCAGCGACACAAGTGTCTACCGTCAACGAGGTGCTTCACCGGTCACCGAGCATCGTGAGATACTTAAGCCTGACAAAGATTGTCCGCCTCTTTGAACAAAGCCGTGCATGCGACGGCTGTCGAGATCACATGGAAACACCGTGACAGGCTCCATGATATCGTCGTCAGGCTTGGGGTATTCCACACCATCTGCACACTGCTGGCAATAATTAGGAAAGCGTTTCCAAAATGCTGGACTCCGAGATCTCTGCATTGAGTCTGGCATGATCGCAGAAGGCTCCATTGTTTCTGGTGTTATGGATGGCCGCAAGCACAACAGGGCAGTGCGACTACACAAGCTCCTGTGTGAGGCTCTCGTGCGACTGACATGGAATGGTTTCCTGTCCTGGTTGGAAGCAACTCACATGAACCGCATGGTTCACCTGGATGAGACGCTGAGGACCGTTGACAACCTTGGGAAAGAAGTCTCGCAAGCCGCTTTGAAGGAGGCCCTCGAGAACAGCTCGTGTACACGCGTCGTGGAACTGTTTGAAGTCTACCGCGAGTTCCTCAGAGGTTGGAAACGGCAGCCCCTCGACCTTCTGGACGCCCTATTTGGACACGGTTGAAATATTGTCGGGGCACATCCGAGCATCCAGAGAGGGAGACTGGATGCTACACTTGGCAAGCATTCGAGCAATGATCCCGTGGTGCTTCGCTTATGATAGGATGAATTATGCACGCTACCTCCCCTACTACTACGCCCAGGTGTCTCAGCTGCCCATCACACACCCAGATGTGTACACGGAATTCATGGAAGGAGGCTTTTCGGTTCAACTGAGCTCCGCCAATCCATTTGGCCGAATCCCTGTTGACCAAGCTATAGAAAAAACGGTGAACAAAGACACCCAGACAGCTGGAGGGACAAAGGGATTCAGCTTGAAGCCAGGAGCCGTGACCAAATATTACCTAACAGCTGAGTACAGAAGCATGTACCTGAAACAGCTGAGAGACCTGATAGGTCAAAGCAGGTCCAAATTGTCCCATCCAGATCTACAGGGTCCAGGGGTCAAGAGAGATGAAGCAGATGTCCAGTCTCTCTTTGACCTTATGGAGAATAACTGCATCAATCCTATGTCCCCTGATGAGACAGATCTGGTTAGCCTCTCCACTGGCACCATGGCTCCACCTGATGTGACCAGGGATCTCTTGAGAGCTCTTGAGATAGGAGAAGAGGCCTACCAGGTATTCAATCAAGCAAGGTTAGATGAAGACCCACAATCTGTGAAGTTCCACGACAAGGTGACCAAGCAAAGTCTGAAGACATTCTCCAATATCAGTACAAAATACGGCACATGGAAAGACAGCACAGGATGTGGTCCTGAAGGCAGATGGAAACCTGTTCAGCCACATGATCCTAGTGGCTGAAAGCAGGAAGTTGAATATGAAGGATGTCCTTGCCCACCCACTGGGCCAACTGCC